AAAATTTCAAAAACTCAAGGAAAATGCTTATTTGCTAAAAAAATATTATCTGTGCAGTTGAACTTTGAGAAAAAAAGTGCAAAAGCATTTATTTGGATAATATTTTTCTTCCTTTTTGGTAGTCTGGTAAAGCCGGTAGCTATGTTTATTACGACATAATAAGAAGTACCGCAGATTCGTCTTCAAAGTTAAGGGACGTAGTAAACCTTTATCTGCGTGTTCTAGGTCTATAGTCGTTGTCGAAAAAGTCATACGGCCATGTTTGCTGGAGTTGTATGGCTACTAAGTAGAAAGAACATACCTCATAGCTTCCATAATGGTGTAGAATTTCCAAAATGGGAAATTCTAATAAGACATTAATAAGACTAATAAGGCAGGCCGAGCGCCAGGCAAGGACTATAGGGGTAGTACTGTACCTGCTGACCGTGTGTATATGTGCTCTTCCTCCCCATTTTTCTATTTGTTTGTATATCGCTGATCCTTGCTAGATTGTTGTCCATCCCCGTTATTGTCGACGACAACGATTTCTGAGCAGCGTGAAAAAGATCCGGAAAACCCAGTTTGTTGTTAACCTTCCCAAGGAATAAACGAGCTCTCCTTTCCTTCCTTTTCCCTGTCGATGCGTAGAGGACGCCCCTCATGTTGCAGCACCGTTTCAAAAAAACCGTCATTGCCATCGATTGCACATTAATTTCATTCTGGAATTTTGGGGTGCTAGGCACTATGCTCCTGGCTACACTCTGCAATTTTGTTCGGGCCTATTTTCGATCCCGCTTTCATTCGTACTTGGCGCCCACACGCACCATTATGCTTTAGCCATTGACAATTTTAGCTTTGGTGTTTGGCTATCCAGCTAGGGAGGTACGAACTAGCGAAACCCGTCGTAGCCGTATTCTACTAGCAACGACAAGTAAACGCTTTTTTCTAATTTAACTAATCTATCTTACTAGGTACACCGGGACTAGGCTAGAGACACGGCCAATCGCGCCTCAGAGATGATTTGGCATGACGATAGCATTTTAGAGTTGGAAATTGCCCTATGCCTTAAACACAGCAATCGATGGCAATGTCTCAACCACAACAAAGATCCGAAACGAATCTACCGATCGGTCTAATAGGGGGGACACTGCTGTGGCCAGTCTAAGATTTGCCGGAGTATAACCTAGAAATGAGTCTGCGTATAGAATGTATATCTGAGAATTGCAGTGTTATTGTACTGAACGCGAAATTAGTTACCAAACAGGGACGTACTGTCGCTGGTACTCAACCATGTTATAGCACGTATACGCAGGCAGACCACGAACGAAACCCTTGTCGCTGCTTTTTCAAGTTTCTGTTTTAACGTACTTAATAGCACTAGCATTAACGTATGGCAGCCGTTACCCGTTGAAGTTATGGATATATGATTTCTAGCCCAATCTATTTTGAGAACTCTATAATAAACCTTATAAGAATATTTAACTTGTGCATAATTCATAGAGCAGAGCTGCAGCGATCAAAGGTAACGTCGTATGAACGACTTATCAGCAAAGGTAGCTAGAGCTCTTCTAGTTAGGATTCATATCAGCCAAGGCTGAGGGCATGGCAAAAATCACGATTGAAATAGGTACAAAACTCTGACAGCAAGGGAATAGCTGAGGTAATGCAGGCATTCAGACGTAGTAACTACAATATGCCTCATGCATACAGGACCATAAGAACAGCACATTGAAGAAATGGACACACGACAAAACAGATGAATCTATACAATATAATAGATCAGCAGACGGCACCGAGAAATAGAAGGTAGAGAAAGGCAGAAAGAACTAATTCGTTTGCAAAGCAGGTCATCGACTTAGCATTTGAGAGGACGTTATGCCTTGCTTAGGTCCATTCTCGCATCGCTGTCCACATGTGCTGCGCTATCTAGGCCCCGTGTTTCGTGTCGATTCTGCTTGTCACTTGCTTATCCATCTGTTTGTCCGCTTAAGTGGAATGATCACCAGATGGCGACTCTGCGCAAATGCGACCTCACGACGCTTTTGTATGCAGACGGCAGCGGCGCTGAAATCGACTACTGGCGATGGGCACGTTACGCAGTATAGCCTATATTGGAGAAATGCCGCGTCTAAAGCGCAAGCAAAGAAGGACCAATTCACCGCTCTCCGTTCATAGTCTGGCATTCAGTATCATGACAGCGACTCCACATGGAAGCATTATGGCTCTAAAGAGATATCTGGGAGACAGAGCAGATGATCCAAAAGTTCGCACGCAAGCTGGAGTCTGAAATATTGGCTGCTGGCCACCTCGAACATCAGCTCCATCGTCTTACAGACATCGCGATACCAACCATTGTCAATTCCCACATTTAGAGCTGAATTTTGTACTCGCCAATTCTGTTGAGCGACTACAAATGCTTGCGATTTGGATCGGTATAGTGGATGGCGTATGAGTACCAAAAGTAAAATAACCGAGATTTATAAAAGCATATGAGACCATTTTTCTCTGCTTTACCTGTTTTGTTGATTTTTGGCGTAATATCTCCTGTTATTTCGAATCCTAATTTCATATATATGTGTGTGTACAATCGCGTGTGATTTTAGTCGATGTGACATTATTTTAATTTGCACGGTTCTCTTACGGCTGTATAAAGGAGACTCTCTGAGCGTTTGCCTCAGCACACATTTACCAAGTAAATTATCTGGGCAGCAATTATTAGAACATTAATCATATACCGAGTGGACTATTTGGGTGGGCTGATAGCGGTTTACAGGGTTAGTTGGTTGCCGTGTAAATACGGTTACGGGGCTACCAAAGGGTGCTACCGACGAAACTAAAAATCTGGTAGTTAGCCACCGATGCTGTACTGAGATCGGATGGAAAGATCACAAAGAGGTCATTCGATTCCATGGTTCCCGCCGGGCGAGTTTGTATGACGTTGCCGAGATGCGAGATTGGTGCCTCTCCTTGACGTTTCTCGTAGCGTATCTCTCTTTTTAGTTCGTCCTTTTGCCATTGCTGCCGTCGTCATCATCATCACTGTCTTGTCACGGACGACGCCACGAACCCTGTTCTATTCCGGACCAACCACTCGTGTGATCAGAGCCGAAGCCAAAAAGGATCCACCCTAAGGACACTATGCCCACAGAATACGCCTATGCTGTTGAAGAGCTCCTGGCATATTCATCCACTAATAATTACGTTGGCTTTCGCATATTAGCGTCAGCTTATCCGATGATGTTAATGGCAACGGATCCTGCTCCCAGGACTCCAGTCCGGCAGCATACGTTTTCTCACAATGTTTATGTAACCTTCGTTCGTTATACTCCGAACGAATTTCGTCCTTTGACCCCAGTTGTACTCGATCCTGGAATAGGATAGTGCATTTGTTCCTGGTTTATCTAACTGGCGGAAGCCTACTGATGTAGACTGCGAGCTAGCCTTTAACTAAGAAAATTTCTTATTATATACACGACGTATTTTGACACTTACATGTTCTATGGTTAGTAGAGTACAACTAATCTAAAAGCATTGCGGGACACGGGGGAGTGCTGCCCTATTAAATCAACACAGTAAAATGCTATAGTACAATTTTACCTGCCTTCCATACGCAATCTCTGATCCATATTTAGAATAACTTATTGTCCTAAGCGGGCCTGCTTTCGTTCTCAATAAACGACACACATTTCGGTTTTGCTTTCACTCATGATTTCCAAAGGTGTGCGTTTCTCGAAAATAACCATCATACAATTCGACACTCGTAATAATAAGTGAAAGTCGATCGTGTCCCCAGATTCAACATGTCAGACTGGGTCGGGCGAGATTTGACAGTCGGCTCAGCGGACGATGACGCAAGCTGGCATCAACCCATCACGGAATCAGGACGACTTATAAGTTACTGAATGAATTTAAGTCGAAATAAAAGGCTAACCTTGGCTATTACGTTTGGCAACTCAGAGCAAAGCCTAAAAGAATAGACATTGCCGAATTCATTCATTACCCAACTAAGTTACATGTGAAAACCAAACTTAATTATCTTAAAATGAGCCAATCATTGTTTCTAATAAGGCTATATTGGCAACTAGAGTTTTTACGAAGTTGACGTAGAGGTTTTGTAAAAGGAACGTTTGGCAATAGCGTCTTGCAATAGAGCTTATTCTTATGTGTGATGAGTCTGCTTCACCTCAACGGCTTGTTCAGTATAACGTGATGTCTTCATTACATTATTATTTAGCTGATTCTGCTTATCCGTTTAATATTTGATCGATACCTCCAGGCCGTGTAGTGCATTGAGTACTTTAAATGCTTTCTTTTCTTAGCTAAGATTTGTGTTTGTAGCTAGTGACACAGAAGCTTTGTTCTATTCTCCTGCTGGCGCTTATGTAGGCCTACGTCGAAACCGAACAAGTTTCTCTAACCTGGATGTTGTCATCAGTTTTAACAAGATGATTCCACGACAGTTCTACTTTCACAGACCAAGGCCAATTCTCTAAATCTACTGGTGAACTTAAATTGAAGTTTGATTCACCTACTCATTTTTCCTTCATCCTCCTCCATTCATGCCTCCTTCATCCTTTAACACAAGCACCAAATACGTAGAAGCTCTATAAGCGGACACTGTAACTGCTTAGTTTAGACTGCATTATATGAAGTCTACATTAATTAGTCTAAATTAGAGTTACTTTGGCAGCGGACTCAAACTGTCGAACCCCAGAGAAAATGTCACTCACAAATCAAGCTTTACCGTTTGACGAGACCGTCTATTCTGGTGTACTGTTTGAGGAACACATCGTTATATATATATATATATAGTCGTTTCTATGTTGGCCAGGAGCGAAAGATTGATATTTTTATGCAAATCCGTTTAAATGCATTGTGACGCGAGGTAGGAAGATGCAGTGAACGCGAGAGAGAGTAAAGAGATGATGTCGTTACGTGTAGGGGTTTAAATAAAGTCTGTTAAAATGCTGTATCTGCTATGCGCTTGTGGTATCTAAAGTATTGTTGCTCGCATTCAGTACCTTCGACGCGATTGCCTAGTCCATCGAACCAGGTGAGGTCCGCCGCAGGTTTCCCCCCGTCTGAACGACACACAAGCTCGACCCTCATCCCTGCCGTGGTGGTCATATGGCCCGGTGGATAAATGCGTGGAGGTTCAGGAGCCACTGAAAAGGTGTAGAGAATTGCAGAGACAAAAATGTTAGGTTTGTTCTCGTTCTTAAAGTTATTATACGCTCCGTAAGACTATAGCAGTGTATATGAATATGCAGAAGTTTTATATAAATACTTGATAGAATACTTTGTACCTAGTTGAAAGGGTATGGAAAGGACATTTATACGTTCTAGAGTGCAATGCAGAGTCCTATATTCTATAGAAATGCTAAATACATAGCATCTTTTCGTTTTTTGGAGCTAGCCGAAGCCCTTCGAACCTATTTCTGAGTATACTACAATTGTTGTTTAAAGCACCAGAGCACAATAAGCAGCAGAAGATGGCTATAACGAGCATATCGTTTAACGGCATTCTTGATACGACGTCTTCACTTACAGTGAAGTATGGTAAGACAAGTGCTAGACGTTTATTGCTTGAGTGTAATCTACAAAATTGTCGAACTTCGAGCAAATTACGAAGTTTATGACAATCATACTTAACATAGTTAATCTAGTATGATTTCCTGTTGTTTACAGTTAGTAGGTTAGTGGCCGCAAGCAATAGACAGCACTGCTTTGTTTAGGTCTACGGAGATAGGGAGTGTTTCAACGGTAAAAATTTCCGCTTGAAATCCGCTTGGGACGGTTAGTGACATGTAAACTGTTGTACAGGTGTACGGAAAACGAAGATTTTGAAATATGTATCGTGTACCAAAAAATTAATCGTAAAGCGACACGAGTGTCTCCTTTTCTTCATAAGTCTCGTTAGCGCACTAGCTAATAATCTAGTGAACATATGTTGAACGACCACCTAGTATAGCTTGTTATGAATATTGTGCTCCCGTATAGAATCTAGTTAGTAAAAGTAAAAACAATCATCAAGCTTGAGTTGCTCATACACGATTGGTGCTGGAATAGTTAACAGCAAACATTATGTCTTCTGAAATTTACAGCTTTCGATACCCCTGGCCACCCCACAGCAGCGGATATAGTTTTAGTTGAAAAGCAGTTTTAAATGGGGAAAATAGATTATTCATAGCTAAGACACACAATTACACGAATGCATCTGAGGATGCGTAGATATACTTTGAAGCTATCTCTCCTGCTGAATCTCTCCAACAAAGTTAGTAAGCGGCGACAAATCCTAATCGTTTAACGGTAGTTACATTAATGAACGATAATCAAAATAATAATAAAGAAACTAATAATACTAAACACAATAATAAAGGTTCTGTTAAAGGGCACAGGATGATATGTAATACTACGGATAACGTTGTCCAAGGGCACTGGTCCTTCTGGACAGCATTCAAAATCTGGGGACACTTGGTTTTACCCCCCAAACCTTTCAACTAAGCCTAGAATCTCATGCGTTTTTGAGCCCGATGCTGCACTGTACCGGACAGGGGGTCGTATAACCAAGAAAGCCCACTTTATCGTTTTATCCTCACTCGCTGCAAGCGGTCAGGGCGAAAAGCAGATTCGGGATGGAGCGAAAGGGAAGTGTCAAGCTGAATTCGAACTTGAAAATTTGTCGGGGCTCGGAGGCTAGGTCGTTTGGGTCATGAAATTGTTAGCCGAGAAACTGTAATAATTCGGTGTCATTTGAGATGTTATTTGAGGGATTTTTTCTTGTTCCTAAAAAATCTGTTCGCTCGACAGTTTTAGGCCGGGTTAGACCGCCGGGCTAACGGCACAGTCTCATTGAGACTGGCATTGACCGATGATTGCAGCGGTCGGACTGCTCCTGTTTTCTTGTTGGCTGTCCGCTGTTATTGAAAGACAGACAGAAATTACAACGACAAAAAAGAGATTAATACACATTGGCGTTGAACAGTGGCGCTGTTTTCGAAATCCCGCCTTGTTTCAGGGGTTAGCGCTTGTGACAGACATTGCAAGCGGCAATATAATGTGTTCTTTCATCACGATTACACTAATATAAATAGACATATACAGCTTGAAAGAACTATATTATCTCATTGATCGTTCCATAAACGTGAAATATATTTGACGACATATCTTTCACAGCCATTCCCAGATTTTTTCGGGTTGCAACATGCAGCCTGCTCAAAATACCTTGCTGGGACGTTGGGTACAATCATTCATACAAATGAATATATCCATTAGTGTCTCTAACTATCCTTGTCATGCTTGTTGGTTTGAATCGGATGTGCGTACGCGATTTTAGTCATCGCTACCGTCATCGACTGAATCGTCGAAGCAAGGACCATGCGTCTCACTGTGCAGTTGCAACCTATAGAAATATTTTGGCCGTGTTCTTACAAAAGTCTAGCTTCACTCTGCTAATGGAGTGTCGGGTCGTCGACAGCAACGACTATAGCGTGGAATTACTAAACGACTTTACGAGTAGCTTGTGTTGTTGCCTCGACAAAGCAGCTTTACCTCAAACGGGTTCCGAACAACGTACAGCGTATAGTAGATCCAATACGAACTGTTTGAACAACGATATCCTGCATACCCAGCAGGAAATCTGTGCAGCGAAACGGGATGCACGAGAAGAACGGCTTCGCTCGTCGCATAGTCACACATATTGATGTTAGGCCTTTCGGTTGGTCGGCAGAAAAACGCGGCGTGCATAGGCCGCAAGAATGGCTCGACGTTTTCAACGAAGTAGAAGGCTGCAAAGGAGGCTCGAATGTTGAAGGTTAAAGTATGGAAGGGCGAAAGAATCTGTGAGCGTACCAGTCTCTACGGAGAGGCATTGAGAGTTGAGAACTGTAACGTTCCTGCGAGGCCCGCCATAGCCAGCCAAACAAGTAGACAAGCACGCCTAGATGAGGAAACGAGCAGAGTTTTAAAAGCAAAGGAACTTGTCGCGAACACCGCGTACCAATCTGTAGTTCACTATCAACATCTACGTTTCTGTCGGTGGGCTATTTCCCCGTTCAGATAGGCTATGGCCATGTACGGGAAAACTATTGTTGCGTTGAACCAGGACAAAGGCAACGCCGATCCTGGCAACAACAGTGCTCTTCGGCCGCGCACTGCATTGGTGTGTGACACGTAACGCCAATGTGCGGCTCGATCAGAGAAGGCTGGACCTTGCCAATCTACAAATAGCGGGTGAACGCTGAGATAGTTTATCTATTGCATTTGAGTAGTTACGATGTCTAAGTGGTCTCCCGTTACTTACACCGAAGTCTGCGGATTTTCTTGCGGATTTCTACCAGGCAAGGGTGACAAATATGATAATGACTCTCGAGATGATGACGACAAGACAAGATTACATATTGGAAACTGTCTTCCTGCCTTGGAGAGAACTGCACAATCAAAAGAAAACATCGAAGAGCGTCTTTGAGTAGGCGTTTGGGCTATAGGTTTTTTTTGTTTTTTATTAAAACATTGATTATGACAAAGGTGCTGAGTCTGTCTGGCTTTTATCATTTAATAATCAACAAAACACTTTGCCAGCGTACGCACAGATCTATAATAAGATGGTTGGGTTCAAACATAGACTCTTTTAATTGATTCTGGGAATATGTGCTCTACATAAAAATATCCTATTGAGTTTCGCCGAAAGGCTAAATAAGACCGTTGTTGCTGTTTTAGTATTTGTTTGTAATGTCATGGCATCTTGTCACCGTACAGTCACTTAATTCGCATCGGTCTAAACCCTTCCAACATCAACAGAAACAAGGGAGCTGACGCAGACTATAGCAGCGACTAGCGGAAACACGGTGGGACACTCCGAAACTGGGTTGAAAAGTCAACGAGGCTGTAACCCTAACCCCCGAAATTGCTAGAAAAAGCACTTTCCTCTGAGCTCTCCGAAGAAGTGTCGCATAGCGCATAGAGTGTCGCGTGGGACGAGCTAGGGCGACCGGGAACTCGCAAATGGACACCAGTACGTATAACACATGTTTAGGTACAAGGCCATATTTGAAACGCCAAATCGCTAAGGAAATAATGTTGTCATTAGGTTACTTGGAAGACGGATCGGCCATGATAATAAATTCAACTGTGTTACTGTTATTGTCAAGATCAGTTAGCTGCTTTCTGTTCTATCAAGGGAATTTAACAAATTAAATTGTCTCCCGAGAATGACGAACGAGCTCCTTGAGAGCGGCACGTTTCGTCGCCGGCCATACGGAGGCAAATGCGCCTATTGATCTTTCGAAACGTGAGCAATGATTACGCTGCAGACAGATCAGGTGAACCACGTGGCTTTTGATAACTGCGCAGCTATACTTGACGACGCAGACAGATACAAGCGTGCAGAATCAATCTGTGTTTGTGTTACGGAAAAATGATCCGCCCATAGAACATGTGTGTCTACAGTAGTCTATTTAATTAGCAGCTAACAAGATCTATAATATATCATATAATTATTATTACGATTGCTTAATTATTATTACAAGTATCTTGAATTTCGATAGCTAAAGTGGGATAGCATCTATTGCACGATATCCTCAATCGTTGTATTGGGTACGTTGGTATGGGTTACAGTAACCCAGAGCGAATCACTTGGTGGCAGAAGCATTCCGTAAAAACATCAGGTGGCCATGTGGAAACTGGGCATAAATTGATTAAGCTAACCTGTTTGTGCTGGACTATACCACTTCTGAAAATAATTTGATCGTATTATTAGCTGCAACGAATGGAACGTTGTGTTCAGTATTCACCGACGTTCACTGTCGACAGTTTCTATATAATACGTATGAGACCGTGTATTATATTCCAGGTCCAAGTGGCGGATTACTCGTCGTGATAGGTTATATTGGATGAAGGCTCAAACTGTTTCTTTCGTGCGCGTAAAATTCTACTTGTGTGCTTCCATGTTAACGTTTAGCATTTCATGCCCAAGTGGATAGTTTATAACCATATCTTGGCTGAAAGCGAGGAGAAGTCCGAAGCGAAGAAGAAGGATGTCCCGAGCGGACCGCTGCAATAAGAAGCACCCAAATCATTATACATAATCTTTCGAGGAAACAAGGCTTATACGTGTGTAGTTGTACATGGATAAGACATGCATACTAACTATTGCCGAGTGCTTTGT